TTTTATACATAGCACACATACTATGCAAGACATAGTTTCAATTTTCCCCTGTAATCAGTGACCTAAGAGACTTCTATTTCTAGAACCATTTTGTCACCTGAAATACACACACACACACACACACACACACTTCTATTAACCTACTGAACATGTCTATCTGAACATTCAACAAATATTTGAAAGTCATTGAGCCCCAAATTTGATTCTTGTATCCTTGTTCCTGATCAATGGTCTTCCTGACACCCAGTACATCAAACGTGAAACTGTACAGTCATCTTCTACTTCTTGTCTTCATATGGTCAGCAAGTCCTGCTAATTCTGTGTCTTCTGCCTTTGCCTCAATTTGGACTGGCACTGTCTTGCACCTAGACGATGACATCTACTTAGATTCCTGGCCATCTCTATTTTTGTTTATTATTACTTTGCAAGTGTTTGGGTTTTACAGATGGATATGAGTTTGTTGAAGAATTTTCTTATTTTGTTTTCCAAGTCTCCCTTGAGAGTTTATATCTGGTTTGCCTGTACCCAAGTGGGCCAGCCTCGCTGCATTCATTGTTGCTTCTGCTATTTCCTGAAGGCAGAGGTTTTCATCCATCTTTGTGCCCCAGCATTTGTTCAATGAGTTTCCAGCATGAAAGTGGTGCTCTCTATACGCGGCTGAACGAGCCCGAGGGGCACTCTGGGTAAGCATCGGACTGTTAACTGCAAGCCCAGTAGTTCAACACACCATCCACTCCTCGGCTGAGAAAGAGGAAGCTGTCCGCTGCCACACGATTTGGTTCCTGAAGTCCGACAGAGGGCTTCTGTGAGTTGCAATTGACTTGGCAAAGTGGGCTTGGGTAGTCGAATGCCGATATGCCAACAATGGATGATGAGAGAACAGACCTGGAACTGGGCATGTCTTCTCTGCCTCGAAGAATCCCTGGAGGGTGCTAAGTATTAAGCTACTAACCCAAAGACGGGTGGCTGAAGCCAGCTCAGAGACATCTTGAAAGAAAGCCTCGTCATCCGCTTCAGAAAGATCCCCAATCCGAGTCAAACCCACTGCCATCGAGTTGATTCCGACTCACAGCAACCCTATATAAGATGCCAGGGAAGGTAGCTCTTCTAACCCACCCATCTATTGGAATCCCGTCAACAGCCAGCGATCCGTTTGTTTGCTTCCACGCTGCCACTTACTTATTTGCTAATAGCCTATGAGGCAACGTAACTTTAAGCAAGTGATTCTCAGTTCTTCCTGTACATTAGAATTCCATAAGGAGTATGGATTGTGATAAGAATTGTACGAGCCCCCAAGAAAATGATTTTTTTAAAAAAAGAGTTTCATAGGGAACTTATGAAAAGGGCCTGGGACCCATTGCCAACCAAATTAAATCGGAATCACTGTTGTGTTGTTGGGTGCCCTAGAGACCCGACACACAACTGAAGGAAGCAACACTGCCTAGTCCTGCACCATATCCTCACAAGAGTTCCTGTGCTTGAGCCGATTGTTGCAGCCACTTGTTGAGGGCCTGCTACTCTTTCACTGTCCTTCCACTTGACCAAGCATGATGCCCTTCTCTAGGGACTGGTCGCTCCTGACAATATGTCCAAGTGTGTAAGACAAAGCAAAGCCCATCCTTGTTCCGAAGGAGCACTCCGGCTGGACTTGTTTCATGTCCCCTTTTGAATTCAGCCTGAATCTATGGCAGTTCCCTGTCAATGTACTACTGAAAGTATTGTTGGATGATCTTCAGCAAAGTTTTACTTACATGTGATATTAATGATATATTCTATAATGTTTGAGCATCCCGTTGGGTCATCTTTCTTTGAAATGGGTACACCTATGGTTCATTGGCCACTCCATTGGCCAAAGACCTGCCTTCCAAATTTCCTGGCAGATGAGTGATTCTAGTGCTTCATCCGCTTATTGAGGCTTTCTGCATTATTCATTATGTTTCCCACAGAATCAATATTGCAACTCCATGGTTCAATGCCTTCTTGAGTTCTTTCAGTTTAAAATGTGGTGTGTTCTTCCTTTTTTGGTTTTTTAACTCTAGGTCTTTGCATACTTCATTATAATATTTTACTTTGTCTTTTCGAGCTGCCCTTAGAAATTTTCTTTTTTAGCTCTTTGAGCTCATCATTTCTTCCAGGTGCCTTAGCTACTTTACATTTAAGAAGAAGTTTCAGAGTCTCTTGACATCATGAAGTGGGGTGGGGAGGGGAGGGTGTAGGCACTAGAACTTTTATTAGCTCCATGGGTTATACTAATGGGTAGGCTTGAGAATCACTGCTCTTACCTAAATTGCTCATCTACTATTAGTATCTACTTACGTTTTTAAAGGTTGATCAGAGGAAACGAGATTGTATTTTGTACAGTGCCTGCCGTATAGTATGTGCTCAGTCATGATGTTCACGTGCAACCTCAATTTATAAACTCCATTGCGACCCTCCAGTCATTCCGCCTTCAATTCCTGAAAGTCCCAAGTGATAGTGTCATCACTCATGCTTTTTTGCCTAATCTGAGCAGATGTCTCTTAATCCCCAAGTCACAATTTAAATATATATCTTTGTAGTCTGTAAACATACAGTTCCCAAGTATCCTTTGTTTTTCATTATAGTACCTTGTTCACCATCTTCATAGTACTTTCCCCCACTTGAACTTGCACATTTATTTACATACATAGTGTGTATCTCCCCTACTAGACTTGAAGGTTCTTAAGGGCCAGGGCCTTCTCTGTTTTGCTTCCCTCCTGTAATCCAATGCTGAGTGTCTGTTACATACTAGGTATACAGGTAATATTTGTTGAAGGAATGAATACATCAACAATTCATCCACAAATCTTGTAAAGGTAAACTTCATTAACTTTTAAAGTCCTTTAACTATCTGTATCCCTGATGTGGTGGAGTGAAATTTCCTAATATGGCTCTTCCACCCATATATCAAACGTAAGAACAATTGTGAGGAGGCATAGGAACAAGAAGTGTTTCATTCTACTTGAAATAGGGGCACTGTGAGATGGAACTCAGTGGACCGCACCTCCGAACAACACTCAAGTCTCTGTAACTTCTACCAAATGATTGGGTGGGTCTATGCAAACAGGGCATGTGTAACACGGAGAGAAATGATCGGTTAGTTTTTTAAAAACCATTTTATTGGGAGTTGATACAGATAGCATATTCCATCATTTAGTCACCTCAAGCAGTATTGTTCATTTATTTGCTACCAATTTCAAAACATTCTTTTCTTGAACTTCTTGACATCAGCTCTTTTACAATCCCCGGCCCACTGTACCCCCCTGAAACTCTTATTCTACTTGCTGTGCTTCTAAGTGCATCATCCCGCCCTTCCCCACTCCCCACGCCCTGAGCTTCAGAAAGGATGAGCCATGTGTGAAACAGTAGAGAAGGGAGAAATCTTGAGTACCTGGCAAGAGCATGTTCAAGACGTCTGCCTGAAGTGGCAGAGGCCACAGACCAGATGCATCAGACGGTGGCCCAGAGTCACAAGGTAATTCCTAAGTGTTTGCAAAAGGTAGGTAGGAGGTATACATGAACTGTCTGTGCAAAACGTAAAGAGGGCTATGATGTTGGGAGATTTCATAGCTATTGCCTTTTGTGGATATTCTTTTATTTTCTAAATTCCTTATCTACGAATGAAATTAGCCCAAATATATATATTTTTATGAGTAACCTAAACTCACGGGAAAGATGCTTAACAGCTAAAGGAACAATTTGAGAAAACAAGGACCACTTTCACACATTTTGTTGCAAATCTAGTTCCTCCTTCTATCTTCAAAAATAAAGCGCTGATAATCAGTTCAAAAAGATCAAAGCAGAAACAAATTCTAACTTATAACATATAAGCTCAAAGTAAAAAAGATCAGAAGCTTCACTAATTTCCTTCTTGTAAAAATATGGAGCATTTATTCTATGACTATATTGCATATGAAACAATTACCTAACAGCAGTTAGTACCCAGCACAACGCTTTCATTCACAACACAAACTCCCTGGTACACGGCAAAAGTCTGTCCTATTTCACCTTCTATGACTACCATCAGTGGAAATGAATGGTAATGGTACTACTTCTGACAGGGTGGTACAAGGGTTTGCATTTTCTCTACTTTGATGTACACATCCTTCCTTGCGACAGTTGACCCCAAACCGCTTTATCTGGTCCTCCTTGGGGATCTATCGATTATCAATGCAAACTGGATAAACCCGGTGGAATGCAGACGAGAGAAATATCCATTAAGCTCCTCCCAGGAGAAATCATGACTAAGTATAAAACCAAGCAGGGCAGAGCTCTAAGTCCAGTAAAAGTCCAACGACACTGAGTGCCCGCGCCCTTTGGCGGGGTCACCCGGCGGCCTGGGTCCCGGGGCATCCGTTCTCGGGGCCGAGCTGCACGCAGTGCCATCGGCCACGGCTGGACAGGGTCCGTACGTGTGTAGCTGCGCGAGCTCCGCCGCCCACTGGGGTGGCGCCCTCGTCACAATCCCGGGTTGCCTGGCTTGCGGACACCGGAAACGCCTCTGCCCCGACCCGCGGACCGGCCGGCTGGCGCCGGCAGGAACCGGAAGCTCGTGCTCCCCGAGCCCGAGAGCGCGGTCGCAGTGAAGCTCTGGCACGGCCGCCGGACGGGAGGAGGAAGGAGCGGAGTCGGGGGGGCGGGGCTGGTCCCAGAAGATGGCGGAGGCGGGGGTGAGTTGGGGTACCTTGGCGAAAGGCAGGTGGCTGGAGGTTGAGGGAAGCGGAAGGGGGTTCCCAGAGGAGGTGCTGGGGCTTTTGCCAGCTGGGGAGACTGGTGGCCGGCGCGGGGAGCCAGGACCACCGATGGGGCTGAGGACGAGCGCTGGGGCCTGCAGGGCGAGGGGGCCCCCGGTTACCTGGAGAGGGGACGTCGAGGTCAGGCCAGGGACGGCGGGGTCCAGGCCAGGTCCCGGAGAGCCCGAGGCTCGGGGCCCCCGCGGGGATCAAGTTGAAGGACGGAGAGAGCGACCCTGGAGGTCCGATGGGAGGCGGAGGTCCACGAACTGTCAGACAGAGAGCCCTCGGGACGTGGGAGGTGAGTCGTCTAGGGGGAGACGCAGGGTTGGGACTGGAAGGGACCCCAAAGGTAGCTTTGGTGGAGCCTGTTTGGAATCCACCTAAAGGTATGTTGACCGGGAACCCAGGGGTGGGACTTGGGCATCTTGGATTAGAATGGCATACCTGGGTGGCAGGTGTGTAGGAAAGACAAAGAGAACTCTAGCCTGGCCTGAGACGTTGTTGATGGATGGTCATTACTGAGATTTTGCCGTGGATTAGCAGGGATTGACAGTGGAGAACGAAAGGAGTGTGGGTATCGGGTGTGTGTCTGTGTGTGTGTGTGTTGGGGGGGCGGGTATCAAAACTTATGTGATAAGGGCCTATATGTCCAGTTAGGGTTGAGAAAAAGTTGTTGAAATATGGTCTTAGCTGGATCATGTAGGGGACGATAATGTGGAGCGTTTGCTCTTTGTGGAATTGATGAGATCCTTTCGGAAGCAGTGGATAGCTTTGACGGCAGGGCTTCTGACACTGGCCCAGATCAGTATTGCAGCAGAGCTGAAAATTGCAGGCAAGAAGGTAGGCTTCCATTCTAGCTATGGAAAGAACACAGGCAGGGAAGCAGTGACTGAAGACATTCTGCTTTTGGTTTAGACCCCGTTAGTGAACCACTGAAGAAAAATTGATGTAGGGGCCCCACGGGGTGGGGGTGGGGGGACTATCCATGTAATCATCTTGTTTTCCCTGTTAATTCTTTCTTTGGGCATATTGTGTTCAGTGGTTCTCAGAATGTACGCAGGTGACCAAGCCGGGATCACAAACATTTGTTAAAGAGCTTGGTTCTTTTTATGGCGACAACGGATGCTTTTACAGATGGTCTTACAGCAAAGGAAAGGATAAATACTTTTTAGAAAATTAAATCCAACACCAAATAGTTATCAGCAAAGTATTTCCAAATGATGGAGTAACATTTTTAGGGACTGCACTTTGATACATATAAGCAATAATAGAATGTAAATACTGCTTTCTTAATGATTTCTGTGTGGAGTTGCAATGTCTACCAGGCAATTTTTTTCCCCTTTTTGAACGTTTTAAGTGGCCTTAGCCTATAAGCAACATCATAAGAACCAGAGAAAATATTGAAATTGTCAAGGATTTCATTTTAATTGGAATTTACTCCCTTGAACTGGCAATCAAACTATCAAATGGCGTATTGCATTGAACAAATCTGCTGCGCAAGACCTCTTTAATGTGTTTTAAAGCTGTCACCATGGAGACACTAAGGTGTGCCTACCCAAGCCATGATATTTTCATTCACCTCCTATGCATACAAAAGTTGGCTAATGAATAAGGCAGAAAGACCAAAAGAATTGGTGTCTTCGAATTTGGTGTTGGTGAAGAATGTTGATTATAATACATACCACCAGAAGAAGGAGTAAGTCTGTCTTGCAAGAAGTACAGCCAAAATACCTCCTTGGAAGCAAGGAGGACAAGACTTTGTCTTACATATTTGGAATGCTACAAGTTGGAATGCACTCAGCAATACCTAATACAGCTAAGATTCACATGTATAGGCTTTTATTTACCCCAACCCAAATCTGTTCTCAAGCCCATTCTAAGTCCTCGGGACCCTATAGGAAGGACCCCATAGGATTTCTGAGGTCATATTCTAACTGCTGACCTTTAGCATGGCAGTCAAGTGCGTTCACTTCGGTGCCACCTGGCATCCTGTGCTTTTATTTAGAGAAGATTAAACTGTTTCATTGATTTAAGTGTGTCTATTTTAATGTTATGCTTATATTATTTCAAGAATGCCCTTCTAATTTAAAGAGCAGATGATGAAAAAGATGTGAGGTAGTAATACATGAACAGTCAGGGTAATTTGAAGGAGCAAACATAATTCTGTTATTGCTAACATTTGAAGATGAATGATCTTGATTTTGGGGCTGTACTGGTATTAAAATTGTTCGAATGCAACACTTCCCTCCTCTTTTAAAAAAAAGGTTACCACTGGGAAGTTTTTCTGCTTTCGAAAGCCCATTGCCTAAAAGTTGCTTCAGTAATAAACTTTGAGTATCATTTTTGTAAAACTTAGGATCACTTCTAACCCTATTTTATTTACCTAAGAGTGATAATATTAGTTTATTAATCAGCAGTCATGCACATGGAATGTTTTCTCAGTATTGATGATGATTTAATCATTGATCTACTCAAACTGTTTGAACAGTTAGTACAAATAGAACAAGTAAGGTACCATTTGTAGGTTAGACACACATTTTAATGTAGTCAGTTTTGTATTTTTCAGAAATTTTAGGTCAGGCTTGAGATAAACTTAAGGTTCTGTGGAAAGTTTTTCCTCTGTAAATTATTGGGGAAAAAGGCATTAGTTTTAACAGTACTATACTTTATTTGGAGTTGGGTTGCTAACTTCAAGGTGAGCAGTTTGAGACGACCAGCCACTCCCTAGAGAAAGGTGTTTTCTACCCCTGTAAACAGTTACAGTCTTGGAAACTCTCAAGGGCAGTTCTACCCTGTTCTGTAAGGTCACTATGGGTTGGCACCAACTTGATGGCAACGATTATTTGCGTTTGTATAGTTTATCAAGGAGCCCTGGTAATCTGGGCTAGGCATGAGACTGCTAGCTACAATTTGCCCTTTCAAACCCACCATCCCCTCCGAGAGAAAATGAAGGCGTTTTCTCTATTAAAAATTCACAGTCTCACAAACCTATTTAGTGATGCTGTAGGTTGGCATAAACTCGACGGCGGTTTTGTGTTTGTTTTTTCCAAAGGGTTTGGGTGTTGATGAACATGACTTTAATTAAGGACTTCTTCTCGTGCAGCGGTCATTGTTTTCATGTAGCGTTTGTAGACGAGGCAAAACGTGAACTGGAAAGAACCCCGGGAGCCAGAACATTTTGTTTTTTTGTCCCGGTGCTCCCTGGCTATAGTTTTATGATACTATGATGTTAGACAACGTTTTATTGTATAAAATGGTGATTTAAAATATAATACCTGCCTACTCAATATGGCTTTTTTGGTTGGGATTTATTGAGCTATTAATCTTTTTAAAAGTATTTTGATACCAGAGACCTCCAATTTGCACATTATTTTTCAAGTAATTGAAAAATCCCAAATACAGGTTTTTTGGTTTTGTTTTTAATTTTGGAGAATCAAATACATCATTGGTATGAGAGTAGTATTTAAAACTAAATAGACGCCCTTTTAGAGAAGATGCCCTTTTAATACATAATCAGAAAATGAAATTTAAAGACAAGTTAAAACGAGAAGATATTTATTCACTAAAGCTTTCCCATGAAAACAACCCACTTCCCCATGGCGTTACTTCACACGCTCACTGCCATGAAGTCAGTGCTGACTCACAGCCAGCCCCTTGGGCTTCTGAGAACCGTGACTGTTTACGGGAGTAGAAAGCCCACGCTTTCTCCCACAGAGCTGCTGCTGGTTTCAAACTGCTGGCCATGCAGATCGCAGCCCAATGCATTACCACCCGTATAATAGTCATACTCTTTTAGGCACTCCATAGCAGGGTGAGTGGTCTTGTGGGGAGGAGTTTTGTCCCATTGATGAGTCTGGTTATTTCCAGGAGTTTATGGTACATGTCTGTGCTCGTAAGATCCAGTACTCAGCTTGATCTTGCCAATACACTGGATCATTTGGGGGCTCATCTGCCTTTTGGTAAAATGTAGAACTGTTGATTAAGCACGTGCTCGTAATTTCTTTTGGATCATAGACTTTGTGTACTCAATATAATGCATATAACTCTTCCCAGAAAAATGCACATATATGCAATTTTTATTTATTTTTTTGCCATATTTCACATGGCCACTAGAATGAATGATTTCTTAGTTCCTTTCTGTGTCTTTAATTTTAGTAGACTGTGATTCTAAATCATTTTAGGTCTTATTTTTATCTACAGTAATTATATACCATTGTCTTATGACATAGTTATAATCCGCTTTTTGGGTCTCATTCAGGGAAACATCAAACGCTCTGTTATTTTTAAAGAAAAACTTTTGGGTTGACGTAGGGAATGTAGATATGCATTACCAGGAAAGGTTGAATAAACATTTGTGGCAGGATAGTATAAATAAGCAGTTTAAAAACCACTAGAAGCCTTGAAATAGAATGAGGACAGAAGTCTCCGGCAATCAGTGGCTCACAGTGGGAGGACAATGTTTCCCTGGGGACATTTGGAAATATGTGAAGACATTTTTGGTTGTTACAGTAGTGTGTGTGTGTGTGTGTGTGTGTGTGTGTGCTAGCATTTAGTGGATGGAATTCCACTCTGGAAAATGTTCAACATGAAATTGGCCTGCCCCAAATGCCAGTGCCCTTTAGCAAACATTGTTGGGTGATTACTAGAGTATGAAACAATGAAATGGCCTTTAAACTTTCTTGCTTTATTTAAAAATACTATTCACTATAAAATATCCTTTTCCACTTAACCCTTTTGGGAGAAATTTACATACAGAAACAAATGAGTTAATGGAGCAAGTGGAATAATTTAAAATGTATACTCATTCCTACTTTGGAAACACAGTGGGAAGCCTATTGTGTGTACTGAGTTTGGGACTTGAAGGATCAACTGTTGATTTTACACAGTATGATACTTGGCTGTTAGTATTTACCCCCCCCCC